CTTATGGTAATAACAAACAAATATAATTATGTTACTATATTAGAGAAAGAGAGAGAGACAGAGTGAGAGAGAGAGAGAGAGAGAGAGAGAGAGAGAGAGAGAGAGAGAGAGAGAGAGAGAGAGAGAGAGAGAGAGAAAGACTAAGAAATGGACTGAGATTATATTCGCATAACATCGTTTCCACTATAAGAGATTTATCTTAATATTAATAGAGAAAATTTGTACATGAGAAAAAGATTTAAGTTGAAACGTTTCTTGAGTCGTCGACGAGAGCTTCAAAATAAACAAGTACATTAAAATAACAAGTATGTGAAAAAAATCAATACACACTTGTTACATTACATATTTGTTTTTTTTCTTAGCCACTTTAAACCTGCGTTTCACGCAGAAATCATAAAGAGAATTTAAAAAATCTCTTGTATCTTTTTTCTCTTTCCTTCGCGTCTAAAGAGCAGGAGCACTTGTTCCGCAATTCTATCATGACTTTGTGATAGCTGCGGCGCGATGTATTTTCTGCGGTTCAACATGACCTGACCCGTCGTTCGGAGAACGACTCATCTGAAAGGTGGCGGAATGAAGCGCGCATACAAATGGCAGAAAGTTTCTTCGAACATTTATCGCTAGGCTGCATTAATAAAATGACGAGCTGCACTATTTACGTCTTTCGTGTACGTTCTTCCTTCTATCCCGGTTTTCGCTCGGAACGAAACGAGATATGAACTTGCCAATCGGCTTCTACGCTCGTACAAAGTTTTCTCTTCGCTTCGTAGTCGTTATAATGGACATTCGCAGATAAGTTTATTAAAATTTCGCCAAGTGGTTTTACGCTATTCCCGAGGTTCAAAATGGTTTCTCGGAAACAGCGAAAAGCAAGATTCGTAAAAAGCAAATCTCTCTCTCTCTTTCTCTCTCTCTCTCTCGAGAGAGAGGGAGAGAGAGGCGTGAGATATTATAAATGCTCTCATTCATTAAAGCGGCGCTTAGCTTTTTACGCGAGACGTCCGGAAAACACCAGGGACGTCTCTTTTACGTTTCTCTCATCGCACGTTTCTGTGATAAAATTGAGACATCATCTCGCCGGAGGCAAATAGAAGGTAATAAAGAGACATATTATGTTTCTTCCCTTTTTGGCGTCTTTCTCTCTCTTTTTTTCTGTGGCCTTGAAGAGAAGAGATGAAAAACGAGCGTTAAATTAAAACTCTTCTGAATTCTCTCTCCACATTTTTGTTTGGAGACGCTCTTGATAGTTTTTAGTGTTTTCTCTCCACGATCGTTTTGCAACAATACATTTCTCAAACGAACGAGAGCGCGTGTTAGTGTGTAACACGCGCGCGTACATAGTATCTCGGCTTCGGTATTCTAATAGTTCAGAAATTCATTCTCTCGGCTGGGAGGTTTTGGGGGTGTTGAAGTGAATAAATGGAGAATGGGAAGCGCGTCGTATATATGCTTGCACAGCCGCTTCGCGCGCGCCGCAATTGTGGAAACTGTCTCAGGCACCGGAGCGCATTAACACACACTTCAACGTGTTGGCTCACGCAAAGTGGCCCTATCCCCAGCTCTTCTCTTCGATTCTGGTCGAGCATTAAAGGTGAAAATTTATCAATCTCCTCGCGAATATTCTTTGACTCCGTCGAGGCCGTTCACGTGCTCCAATTAGAGATTTGCTTCGACAACGGCGTGTTGCCGCCGGGTCTAATGTTAAAATCGATCACGTCGGGAATATTTTGCCGACAGAAAAACTCGTCGTCGATGAAAATTCGCAACGTACATACGTTGTCAACTTTCAGAACGCAGCGTTTGTTCAATTTACGATCAAGCAAATTAAATAAACAACGAAACCGACAAGATATTAATTCACGTTGTTATACAAAAATCCAGTTGGCGGTGGTCTCTCATCAGTGCAATAATTAATTTTCATACTATTTATTCTCAATAATAAACAGGCCGACCAAATGTATATAAAGCGCAAATAAACGCAGTAATTTAATCTAATACGACTGATTGTTTGAGCACATTTACATACTTTTATTGAGTGGTTATGCGTGTGTTTATAGTAAATAATATATTGTTTAAAATTATCAACTTATGATGAGCGAGACTAATAATTGCGAAACGACATGTAATATTGTGAATGAAACTTGTAAATCATTAAAAGCTCGTCACACATCGCTATGATAGACATCAAGCGAGCAAATGGGCCGGTTAAAAGCGAGAGAGAACCTCGTCGAGCGAATTCCATTCTCTGTAATTTCATTGTCACGCAACGTTATATTTGTTATTGCACTTCACCGTATCTATCGTGCTAATATTACCGTGTATATATGCATAATAATCAGAATTTCCGGAAATGAGGTCAAATGTATTGCGAACGAACGCTTTTATCTTTGTTTTGCATTTCGACGGTGCACGATAATTTTTTTTTTTTTTTTGTTATTCTCGCATGCGATTCGCGAAATTCGCCAAAAAATGTTTATAAAGCGACGCGCATTGCTCGTGATTTCCATAACGATCGCGCGCGCGCGCAAGGGGCACTATGATTGATACTCGAGCGTGTTATAGCGATAACTGCACTGATATATCAGATATCCGCGGCACGTCGTATCGCTGCATATTGCAATACGTAAGTGAAACTGCGGACTGAGGGAACGAAAAATCGAATCGGACTATTCGCGAACGGAATTTTAATCGGTTCGATAGCATGTGTATATTATATAAGCGGGTTATTTTTTAATTTTTGGAACATCAAGAAAGTCTCAAGGAAGAGAAATGATCTCCCATATGTTATATATCTATATATGCTCTCTTATATATATATACATATGATGTATATATACGTATACCACCTTACACACACGTGGTTTTAATGGTTTTTCTTCGAAACGTGATAAAGAGCGTGTGCTTTAGAAAGAGCTTTTAAATAACGTTTCTTAAATAAAATTACAACCAACGCGCAAGCTTCTCTTTAGAAGACCGAAGCTTATAAGGGTAGAATAAAGTTTTTGCTTTGGAAAAAAACAAAAAATGCATCCAAGTTACTAGGATTTTAATTAACGTGTTTCTCGATTTGATACAATCTACGGTTTTCGATTCACATAGAAAACTTTGAATTACTTGAATAACTTGCCATTTTCTTTTTAAAAAATTGTCTTAAAAACTTAATGTGTGCACTTTAAAAACAAAGTTTGTTTTTTTGGCAAGCGAGTGCTCTCGATTTTTTACAAACAAGCGAAGTTTCCACAGTTAACATGGGTAAAAGATGCGTGTCACGATTGTAATGGCTCTCTCTTTTTTTTCTCTCTCTCTCTCTCTCTCTCGACGAATGCGCCTCATCGACTGGCACTATCGGTAATACGGTAGAAAATTGTGCGAACTCAGAAAAAGAGTCATCCACGATAACTATCATTTCTTATATTCCGTAGACGGTAAGAAGAGAAGAGAGAGAGAGAGAAAGAGATAATATAGAATAATCGTTGGGAAGAATGGCGGTACATAAAAAAGCGCAAAGCCGAAGCAGAAGTTTTTTTCATCGCATCAAGAACACGGCGATGTTGTCCAAGCAATAAATCGTAAAAAATTGTAACGCAAACAAATAACAAGCAAAGAACAAAGATCTATAATAGCAAAACGAGACGAAGATAGAGAGAGAGCAGAAATGCGTAATAATTGCGATAATAATTGCGTAATAATAATTTTGATATAGTTTTGATGTGCAACGTGCGTTTTATCCTCTTTGTTTCCACAAAATTAAACGTATTGAAGCATAACTTTTTCACCGGATCGGATTACAGTTTGAGCAAATGATAGTGCAGAATGTGCAATTAACGTAAATTGAGCTTTATATGTGCGTACACGCTAGCGTGCCACTGATAACACACTGTAAGTGGAATTTTAAAGAGTATGAGAAAAGTTTTGTTGAAATGAAAACTGTATACGTGCATATATTATACATATGTGTATGTGTATGTGTGTAATAACGCACACAAGGTTCAATAAAATAGAATGAATCACACACATTTGTTTTCGATCTATTTGCGAGGTAAAGTAGCATGCTGAAAGTCGTAAAAACTGTTCAGGAGAGGACCAAACAGCTCGCAAAATGCAACAATACACACACACACATGCGCGCGCGCGCAGAGGTTTTAATAAAATGAGATTTTTTGTGTGTAACGATTTCTGTTTGCGAAGAAAAGTAATATCAGCTTGTGACTTGTCAGATACGCCCGTCAACGGCGGATAATTAAAGGAGCGTGTATATATTCATCTCTCCTGACATGTTTTGTGTGAACTTTTAGATGAAGAGGATTATTACTATGCAAATAAGATTAACGAATTAATGGCTGTCACCACGATACATATTGCCAATAATTCAAAAATGCATTCTCCTACTTTCTCTCATCTTTTTCATCGCGTATTTATTTTACCTCACATAATATCGGGAAAAAAAATGATAATTTAAAAGATATCTTTGTGGTCTCCTGTGTCCCTTTTATCGTATGAAATACGAGCATTAAGTCGTTCTTTTTAGACCGAATTTTCAAAGTAATAAGAACTTGTGCAACGAGATTTACAGCGAAATAAGTAATCTGCATAATATGAGAGATCTGACGACTGCACACACACACATACGCATATAAATTATTTGAGGCTAAAGGTGCTACTTGCGAAGTTCTACATTCAAATGCATATGTACATTCCGTTTATTAATTTTATGCCCATATTACTCACAGAATTATTTCCCAACGTTAATAATTTGTTCTGTTCTATTTACAGGTACTAACCCACGCGTTGAGAGAGATGTCACAAATTTAAAAGAAAAAAAAAGTATAATTACGCACGCACGCGAGACACTGCGAGGGTGTTAACGTGATTTTTCGGTCTAGTTAAAAAGAGCTTTAAATTAGTTATTACACAATGCGTTACGTAATGATTTTGAAAAAAACCAAACCTGAATGAACAGCTCGAGAAAAATATATTTTAAAAGTGCGAAAAATATTTTCGTCACAACTTTTGTGCAAACGTTGCAGTTTTGGCAATTTTTTAAAAACAGTCACCGAATAAACAAAAAAAAAACTACCGTATTTATGAATACGGTCTTGTGACAGAATTTTTCTGGATAAAGTGACATTTTGTGGTGATGTAACATGCGGCGCAAAATATTTTTATCGACATGAGCGCACGTGTCGCTGCGGGACACGACGAAGGATCGAAGAGCAACCATAACAAGAAAATGTCAATTCAAGAGCATAATCTGTCCGATTATCCGATTTCCACGGAATATTTTGCCGCTTCAGAGAAGGCCGATGACAGCTCGACGATCGTTACCGACCTTCCTCGATTCACCACTGTCACCGGAATTGCCAACATCACCACGCCAGTCGTTCAGCAGTCGCCAGGTCAGGACAGCCTTCTGGAGAATCTCATTATACCGCTGTACGGTACAATCTTCTTCCTTTCCATCGTTGGGAATTCTTTGGTGCTCATCACTCTCGCGAGAAACAAGAGGATGCGCACGGTGACAAATGTTTATCTGCTAAACCTGGTAAGTCTCCGGTATTTCGTCTGACTTATTCGCCAAATAAAAGAAACATCGTTGCCTTTTACAATTATTAAATGTCGCACTACTCGTTATCTGACTTTTTCGTTGGACAGATCAGGGAAAAGGATAAAACTCGTGAAAAACAAATTAATCAGATATTTCGAGTTTGTGCGCGAAAAAAACTACCAACACGATTCATTTTGAGAATTTTAGCCTTGTGCTGTGATCAAAAATTGTTTATCTTGCAATTTAGTTTTGATTAAATACAACGTATATTAGTTTTTAATGTAATATATAAAATAATCATCAGGTTTTAAATCACATATCTTTGTATTTATACGTATACACACGCGCGCACACGTACGTTAAGTAATTTCAAGATTATTACAAAGTTCATCGAAATAACAAATATCTTTTGCATAGGTTTTGAATAAAAATATGAACGTGGGCTTTTTTCTTCGACAGATATACATTTGAATTGTTGTCAAAATTTATGCTGATGATTTACGCTCTGTCTGATGGACACGTAAGCGCGGGGGAATTTCGGCCGTGAAAAGATTATCGATTAAATACAAAATTAATCTTCACATTTTGTGAAATGTAATATTGCAATAACACGTCGGTAACATAATCCGAATATCTGGTTATTTCTGTTGACGAATATAGGTCCGACAGCATCGAATATTGTAACATCTGATTGCTTTATAATTGGCTTTGATTGAATCTAACTGAGCTGAATAAATCCTGGGAAATCGCTCGTGTCGTTTAGAATTGAAATTCTGGCGAAAGTTGTTGTTGTTGAAGTTGACTGCCTCTGTTTCTCTCGTGCCCGCCTTGAATCGCGTATGTGCGTTTTACATAACAAAGAAAAATATTTATTTTTAATTCTCTAGTTTGACACGATATAATAGCGGTCTTACAGAAACTGGAAAACAGAGTTGAGTACTCGCGTTCAACTCATTAAGAATTTTGCTCGCAAGCAGACTATTTAAAATAATAATAAGTAACATACCTGAAAGTTTTTTTATTTAATTTGCTGCATTGGCACAATTTGCAACTTTGTGTCAGAAAAATATAAAACAAAAAAAAAGAGATAGATAAAGAGAGAAAAAAAAATATATACATATATGTATATAACATCAGAAACGTGTTCAAATATAAATTTGCTTCTCTCTACATAAAACTGATTGATTCGGAGCTTTATTCGTAATTTTCCACATCCACCGATAATTTCGCGCGAGAGATAATATGTTAAAAATAAATATACAAGCGCGCATTGCAACCTACAGATTCAGCCAAACAATTTTTCAAATCAGATAAAATATACAACGTTGCGTGTTCGCCTCATGTAATATTTCTAAGCAAACTTTTACGATGTCTCGTGCAGGCTCAGGCAAAAATATTCGACGTGGTTTGCTCACAAGTTAATAAATAAAAAAAAACAAAGAATGATAAGAGAGAGAAGGCAAACAGAAGAGTCAAAAGTCTACGCCGTATCTCCATTCGCCGCGATATTTTTGCATATTTTGTGCGGGTAGTATGCGTCGCCAGGGAATGAAAAAACTGCCAGCGGCGCCTTTTTTTCGGTTGCGCGCCGGCTGCTGGTGATTCGTCACGCGTGCATTGTCATCATTCTACCAGAACGAAGAAAAATGTCGGTCACGTTCATGAATGTCGGAAGTCTAAAACCTTTTCCTGCTATGTATTCAATGCGAGCAAGCAACTCTCTGATAAAGTAAGCTTCCAAAAGAATTTTCGCAGACAGTGGTTAGCGCACACTTGGGCGTATCGTGATTAGTTCGTCTCTCGTGTAATTTAATTTTCTTAAATAAAATTTTCTCCCCAAGCAATTTTCAGAGCACACGCGCGTTTCAGGCTTGGTCAAACGCGATAAATTATTTATCAGTGTCCGTGCACATTAGCTGTTTTAATTTTTTTAATCATCAGCTGTTTTAAGTTTTTGGGGATTTATTAGCTAATGTAATTTTTTATTTGCCAAATGCAATTTCTAACATAAAAATTATATGTAATTAAAAAAAAAACATGAAAAACAAAAATTATGTCTAAGAAAACCAATTCTGCTGAAACTCTAACAGCGTTTTTATCGGCGACTGATCTCAAAAATCTGACGCGACGGATAAGATACCGTGTAAGCTTTAACCCCTGATAAATATTACTCTTATCCGACGTAACGAGGAGCGCTCGATATATGCGCTTTATTTGTTTTTACGGGACATTTTCTTGTCTTTCGTGCGCGGAATATGAAAATAGGTATGTAATCAAACGTTCTAGCTCCCTCTAGACACATATCGAAATGATTTACACAAGAGTAGAAATACACAGAAAGATTTGAATATATCGAATTTTCATATGCGAAAATTCTAGCTACGTCTGCACAGTTGTACAAAAGTGGCACCACCTGCGCCGGAAAAAAAAAACACGCAGAAATAAAAATAATAGTTACAAATATTCAAAAGGTAACAGAATATCAAATCTGATGACAGGTATTATTTGTTTTTATTCTTTTGTGCGTGTCACTGCTCATCTCCATATCAAAGTGTTCGATGGTATTCGCAGTGATAAATTGATTTTGTCTTTTCGGAGTTTAGCGCGCAGTATTAAATGAGTACGTGAAAATAAATTGCGCTCGTATGTGAAAAGACTTAATTTGTCTCAGACAATAAAACTCTGTAGATAACGTTATCGTTTAATAACTTACATTAATGTTTTGCCAGAAACAAATCGGGTAAATAGAAAAAATGATTGGAAAGTAAATAAGAAAAGTTTGCTTTGCTTGCGTACTTAAATCGTGCTTAAGATGAAAACGATGAGACCGCCTTTAACCTTTGGACTTTGTAGCGCGACGCGCATAGCTGACGCGATCTTGTACAGAAATCTCTTGCGCGCGCTTCTTTACATAAAATATTATTTAGCACAAGTCATTTCTCCGCAAAAAAGGCAATAACTATCGCATCGCATCAATAAATCGCGCCTCGCCACGTGACGTCTTTTGAATAAGAAACCCGCGAGACGAAAAAAGTCTTGGAAAATAAAAAGAATCCTCGGAGAACTAAGAGGAATACTAATGGCTCTCCGATAGAAATTGTCTCGATATCTGTATTTAATTATAAAACTCGGAAAAAATATTATCTGCTGCACAATGTTTGTATAAAGGAAAGAGAATAAAAATTTGTAAATAATGTTTGAATATGTAAATTTTTAATATTTTATATTTCCTCGTACTTAACTGTCGAGCCGCTATCTCCGCGTGACGATCTACTAAAATGTCGTATGTACAATTAAAAGAAACAAAACTAGCGCTTGTTTTTCAAACATGTTTTTGTTCTGTGTAAAACAATTTCGTACGCTGTATAATGCAATAAAGTGTACAACAAATCGTAAATATTTCACATTATGCAGCGCTACTAGTAAATAGCGCCACAAAGATTAAAAAAATTTTTATAAAGCTAAAAGATAACGTGTGATGTTTGCATTTTATTTCTCGACAAAAAAACAAACTTCGAAAATGTTCCAAGTACATTCGTGACGTTGTAAGAGTATTACATATTAATACGTTACAAGTAGACAGATCACGCGCAGTATTATTTTTTTAACGGAAATTTGCCGATGACGTAAAAAAGCCGAGAATTTAAGTTTTATCACATTTATTTTTTATTGAATTTTATATGGCTAACATATAGTTTATTATGTTTGCTAACTGTGTGATGATAAATGCCATATTTCTGTGTTTCTGATCAAATCTGTGATCAAATATTTGTTAAAAAGCTTGCGGAATATTTATATTATTTAAATTTTATAACAATAATATGTGTGCACAAGTTTTGTTTCTTTCAACTGTGTGTACAAAACATTTTTAAATATATATATATATATGTATATACATATATACATACATACATATATATCATATGGACTTTCTTCTACAAATTAACGTTCAAATAAACATATAATACGGGTGTACCTTGCGGCGTTATTAAAATATTTTAGCGCACAAAATAAATATTATCTAACATGACATGTTCGATGCATATCGCAAAATGGATCGTATTTAATTTATAACCGCGGACGATACGCGGTATGCATTATATATAAACATATCCATATGTTATATTTTCGCACACTCAATGCCATTGTCTTTCTCTATATGTCTTTCTTTCTCTCTTGGCAAGTAGAGTTTCGCAAACTACTTCCTCTGGTCCACTGGTACTGCGAAGTTGTGCGCGTATATTCCCCCGAATATTTTATGTGTTCAGTTCCGTAGTAATCGTCTCTGCACTGCAAATCCATGTGTGTTACTTTAACACATTTTTTCTGTGTAATTTTAAGATTACACGCTTATCCGTGTTATTTAAACACACATAAATGTGTAATATGATAATTTATGCAGATCGCATGTGTGTTAAAATGCGTAAACATCTAAAATGTGTAATAAAATAAAACATAGTTTTAAACACAAGTTTTAGACATGTTAAAATAATACATATTTCTCGTTTTACACGTTTGAACAGATAAACGTTTCAAAATTAAAACACTTCACAAAATACACATCAAAATTGTCGTTGTCTCTGCGTAGAAAGTTGCGCGCGCATCAATCTTTCTTTCTCGCTCCTTCCAGAGTACAGAGATATGTTAGGACAAGTACAGCGCGGCGGAAAGAAGTGTGCTGACGTGCAATATATGTTTAATGTGATTTGTGAAAATTTAATATATTTTTTATTTAATATGAAGAAGAAAGTGTACTGTTTAATCGGTGAACGTTGTAAACGCATTACGTTTTCATCTAAAAAATATATCTCTGACCTTCAAATTGTACGTGCAACTTTAATAGAAGCCAGCAATAACGATGTAGTGTTACAATCAATGATCAACAACAAAGAAATCATTTTACAAAAGTTTGATGCCGATCGAAATAATAAATTATGTGATATTGAAGAAGATGATGAAATTGAAGACAAAAGTGAGGTTAACGTACTTTTTTTGTA